TGACCACCTGGCACTCCTTGAGTCACTAAAGACACCCTTCTCCTGCATTATTCTTACTGAGCCCTGGCTTAAGCAGGACACAATAGATATCTACCCACTACCAGGATACACAGCAATCCACAACTGCAGACCATACCAAGTTGGAGGTGGTACTGCAATCTATTACTCTAACCAGCTATCTTGTATTAGCACTAATTGCTTTAGTGATGAATATGGGGAATGCATTTTTGCTAATTTTACTGTAAAAAACCTCAAGATGCCTATAACAATCGGTGCCATGTACCGGATACCCCACACAAACATCCCAAACTTCAGTGAGAATCTAAAGTCACTAATAACAAACAGACAAATGAACAAGCACCACCTTCTCTTGGCTGGAGACTTCAATATGAACCTTGGCCTACCAGATGATCAGACTGTAACTGATTTCATCAACAATATGAACAACACACTTCTCATACCAACAATAACTAAACCTACCAGGCTGACTGAGACAAGTGCAACCAAAATAGACCACATATGGACCAATATACTAGCCCCCCTTAAATCAGGGATTATCACAGACAGCACTACTGACCACTACCCAACCTTCCTCTTAACAAACATTAGTAAGCCACCACTCGAATACAACAACAGCAGACCTAGAGACTGTTGACTGGCCTACAGAATTCTCCAATGCCAATGGCATTGACGATTGGACAGACATTTTTCTTAACAAAATACTTAGACTATACAACAAACATTGTCCTATAAAAACTAAACAAATCACAAATAAACGGCTTGGTTGCCCATGGCTAACCAGCAGCATTCTGAAATCCATTGATAAGAAACACCAATACGAAAAGCAATATAGACAGGGCTTAATACACAAAAATATTCTTAAACAATATTCAACAGTTCTCACCAAATTAATAAAGAAAGCCAAACAACTGTACTACTCCAGCAGATTCACTGACACAAGAGGAGATATAAAAAAAGACCTGGAAAACACTTTCCCAGATTCTGAGGACCCACAAAATGAAAAAAAACAAGAATATTGTTCTAACTAAACCTATTGAAACACCACTGCATCCCACTGATATAGTTAACAAGATAAACGACCTCTTCTCAAACATAGGATCTAATCTCGCCAGTAAAATCCCACGTACCAATGCCCGTGCCGGGGACTACCTAGATGGGAATTTCCCAAATTCCTTCTATCTTGTACCAACTGAGCCCACGGAAGTCACTGCGATCATAAAGTCACTTAAAAATAACTCGGGGAGTCTGTCTCATGTCCCACCATTATTGTACAAGCGAGCGGCCCATGTCCTTTCGCATGCTATTACATTACTTTTTAACAAGTCACTAGAAACTAGCACTTTCCCGACACTGCTCAAGACAGCAAGGGTTACACCAATACATAAAGGTGTTGACCCTACAAACGTAAACAACTATAGGCCAATATCAAACTTACCATTGCTATCCAAAATCTTTGAGAAACTCGTGCACAGGAGATTATATTCATTTTAACGTCACAAAACATACTCAACCCCTGCGAATTTGGATTCAAGAAAAATAAAAGCACTAATGATGCAATTATAAAAATGCTAGACCTGCTTTACACAGCATTGGAAAATAAGGAATATCCACTAGGAATTTTTATTGACCTAAGAAAAGCGTTTGACACAGTAGACCACGGCATCCTACTCCACAACTTGACCACTATGGTATAAGAGGCCATGCGCTTGCATATTTTAAATCCTACCTTTCTAATAGGTATCAGTATGTCACCATTGAAGACACAGCCTCATCAATATGGCCACTTGATACTGGAGTTCCGCAGGGAAGTGTCCTTGGACCCCTGCTCTTCTTCATTTACATCAATGATCTTCCAAACATATCACAACACCTGAAACCCATTCTCTTTGCTGACGACACGACTTATGTCATCTCCCACCCTAATCTTGCCACCCTCAACACCATTGTTAATGAGGAGCTGCTCAAAATATCGACTTGGATGACAGCCAATAAACTTACACTTAACACTGGCAAAACCTACTACATATGTATATTATGTTTGGTAGCAGAGCAGGTGTTGCGCAACTTAACATTAAGATCGACAACACTCTAATTGCCAGACATAATGAGGGCAAATTCCTTGGCCTATACCTCGACAGCAACCTAAATTTCAGCACCCATATCCAACACATAACAAAAAAAGTATCCAAAACGGTTGGGATCCTCTCCAAGATACGATACTACGTGCCGCAAACTGCCCTTCTCACACTATACCATTCACTTATTTATCCATACCTCACCTATGCTATCTGTGCTTGGGGTTCAACTGCAGCAACACACCTGAAGCCAATAATAACCCAACAAAAAGCCGCAGTAAGAATAATCACTAAATCCCATCCCTGGCAACACACCCTCCCCACTCTTCATAGATCTAAACTTACTCCCTGTTCAGAACATCCACACTTACTACTGTGCAATCTATATCTACAGGACCTTAAATTCCAATATTAACCTTGACCTAAAATGCTTTCTTGATAGTTTGACAGGATCCACAGGCATAACACCAGACACAAACATCTCTATGACATTCCCCGTGTTCAACTAAACCTTTACAAAAATTCAATGTATTTCAAAGGACCTAAAATCTGGAACACCCTGCCTGAAAACTCTAGAACTGCAGACACATTCATCACTTTCAAAACTACAGTTAGAAAACATCTTATCTCCCTGATACACCCCAACAACTAACTACATGATAACCACCTGGTGGTTCACAATTACACTCACTCACCCACTGACTATAAACCCAGAAATACTAATCTTAATCTTACAATAATAAATCCTAACTAGTAATAAGTTTGCCTATGATACTCCAATATAGACACTTTGTATTGTGCCAAAACAAAAGCATTCACATTGCTAAACTCACAAATTATGATGTAGTCACTCAGCCTTAATACCATAATCTGTAAGGATTTAATGTTAAGAATTAATCTAAGTCTTCCCGAAATACCTAGCCATGCTAGGTGTCCTAGTGGCCCCCTCTGTAATTAGTATTTTATAACATGTAAACCACACAATACCCAAAACCTGTAAACCCCACATTGTAACCCTTATAGAGAATAAACTTGAATTGAATTGAATTTACAAAGTCACACTGTGTGACTTTGTAAATGGTCCAAGTCAGACCGAAACGTCGTCATAAGCTCCTCACCTCTATGTGCGGGTTATTTGTGTATCATTCCAGTCACGTTATTGTGCCTTTTTTTTGTTATTTAGCAGAGGAGTTAGTGGTATCTTTATCCTCACTGATCATTGAAGTACATTTGTCCTTTAAAACTTCTCTTTTAACCTTCCTTATCTTGATGTTTCTTCCTTTACTAGAAACTTCTACCCACTTATAACAGCTACCAATCTGTTCCTCACTGCTGGTAACCTGTTTCTCTTCACTAATCCCAACCACCTCACATTCTTTGCTTTACTTATCCAGGAGAATTTTCGGCATCTAATTTTCCTGTTTCAGTAACAAAACCTTCTCCATCAACACCTTAAACTCAGACTCTGAGGCACTACAGAAGCAAGTCATGGTGATCTGTAACACTACAGACTAATCTACCAAAATTGTTCAGGACAGGTATGACCTCTTGTGACCATTGACCACTGGTCCAAGTCGAACAGAAATGTCATAAGTTTCAACCTCATAAGTGCAGGTTACTTGTACACACAGGTAAACTTTTCAGGCTTTTACTTTATTCAGTAAACATTGACCCTTATTTCTTCTGTTTATTTCATAAGAGGTCTTATCCCTTTAACCCTTTCAGGGTTTCCAACGTACTAGTATGGCTTATGCGCCAGGGTTATTGACGTACTAGTACACATAAATTCTAGCGCCTTCAAATCTAGCGAGAGAAAGCTGGTAGGCCTATATATGAAAGAATGGGTCTATGTGGTCAGTGTGCACAGTATAAAAAAAATCCTGCAGCACACAATGCGTAATGAGAAAAAAAAAACTTTGACCGTGTTTTTGGTTTAAAACATCAACTTTGCACTGTATTTTCTTATGGTGTTTATGGTTGTATTCTAGTTTTCCTGGTCTCATTTTATAGAACAGAAGACATATTACAGAAATTCAGATGATTTTGATTGGTTTCACAATGAAAAGTACATTGAAAATTGAGCTCAAAGTAGCAGAAATGTTCGATTTTTGCCAAAGTTCAAAAGTAAACAAATCATGTCATGCGTCCAATACACGTCAACTGGTGAGTCTAATATTCTTTCACAAGTGTGCTGATATTGTTTATACCATTTCTACTCCATTTCTACACTAATGCAGTAGCCTGCATAATAGTAAATCTTCTATTTTTTTTTTTTTTTGAGAATAAAAATTCAAAGTGGAAAGCAAAAGAAATGTAAGAGGGGCATGGGGATGTGACTAATGAACAGAGAAAATACTATTTTAGTGCCAGGAATGTCTGTCTTGTTTATTCTGGACCCTATTTGGAAATTGGCATCTTTTGAGATTTTTGTGCATTTGGCAAAATTGCCAATTTCTGACCACTTTAGTGGATAGTTGAAATCAGTAAATTGGTGGTTTCTTGTACTCATTCGATAGACAAAATGGAGTTCTAGCAAAATAGTTATGATTTTTGTCGACTAGTACACTGAAATTGGCCGAAAATAGGGGTCAAAGTGGGCGAAATCGCCGATGTGTAAACATCGTTGAGACCGCTGACTTCATGTGAGTGTAATTCTGTAAGTTTTCCATCAAATTTCATACTTTTGGAGCCATTATGATCAGGAAAAGATTCTCTATCATTTCATTAGATTTTTTTTTTTTTTCCAAAAAATTTTCGACCCTGAGAACAAGTTTAGGAGAGGGCCTCTGACCCTGAAAGGGTTAATCTTTACTTTACAATTTATGAGTTCTGGTTCAGAGATGGTTGTGAGGGTGATGATACCCAGACACATTAATGGGTGATATAAGGATTTGTAAGTTAAGCACTTAAATATTAACACATTCTGTTATGTGATCTTCAGGACATAGCCTTCATTGTAGAAATGGATACCAAGATTTTGGAAGATATCGTGCACCTCCTGCAAGATGTTCAATGGCTGTATAACTTTCCTGTAACACAGGTGTGTATAGCAAAATGCTCACTAGCTGTATAACTTTCCTATAATTTGTGTGAAAATATGCTCAATGGCTGTTTAACTTGTTCAGCTTTCCTCTAGCTCAGGCTTGTGTAGATAGACTTCATCAGAATATTTCGTAGTTTATATAATGTTCTTGTGTGCTGCTTTAATATCTTAGAGCTGTAATATTCATTTGCTTTATTTACCTAAGATGGATGCTAATTTTGTAAGATTGAAGGCTTGTATCTTATTTATTTTGAATGGTAAATTTCCTTGGAGATCTTTGTAAAGGTTGTTAAGGTTAAGTTAAGAAAGTTAGGTTAGCTCTTTATAGCAACAATAATAATAATAATAGTTTATTTTAACATTATGCAATGTTTGCACAAAGGAGAATGACATGGGTGTACTTGCCGAAAGCCCTTATATGTGCAGAACATTTTGGGGAAACTTACGACTAACTTAAGATTAATAAGGCAGTAACAATATGAATAATTTTGTACATAGGTGAGTGTAAGTGTCAATTTAGTTTACAGTGAATAAAACAACATAAGAAAAGAAAGAAGGAACACTGCAATAGGCCTACTGACCCTTGCAGAGCAGGTCCATGCCCCCCCCCCCCAGATTACCCCAATGACCCACCAACCCACCCAGTCCGGTCACATCCACTCAAGGAAGGAGCACTGCACCAGACCCAGCAGCACAAGCTAGTCAGGTCCAACTCACACCCACCCACACCCACTCATGTATTTATCTAACCTATTTTTAAAACTACACAGCATTTTAGCCTCAATAACTGTATGCGGGAGTTTGTTCCACTCATCCACAACTCTATTACCAAACCAGTGCTTTCCAATATTCTTCCTGAATCTGAATTTTTCCAACTTGAAACCATTGCTGCGAGTCCTCTCTTGGCTGGAAATTTTCAGCATGCTATTTACATCCCCTTTATTTATTCCTGTTTTCCATTTATACACCTCGATCATATCCCCCCTAATTCTACGACTTTCGAGAGAGTGCAGATTCAGGGCCCTCAGTCTATCCTCATAGGGAAGATTTCTGATACATGGGATCATCTTTGCCATCCTCCTCTGTACGTTTTCCAGTGCATTTATATCCATTCTGTAATACGGTGACCAGAACTTAGCAGCATAGTCTAAATGAGGCCTAACCAGGGTTATATAGAGTTGAAGAACAACCTGAGGACTTCTATTATTTATACTTCTAGATATGAAGCCAAGAATTCTGTTAGCTTTATTGCGAACACTAATGCACTGTTGTCTTGGTTTTAGATTACTTCTAACCAGGACTCCTAAATCCTTTTCACAGTCAGTACTATTAAGATCTACATTATTTAGTTTATGTGTGCATGGTTATTTAATGTCCAACATTAACTTGCATTTGTCAGTATTAATGCATCTGCACTTCTCCAACCATTGCATCAGTCTATTCAACATCTGGAGTGCTCTAGTGTCTCATAGAGAATTGGACGGCTATTTGGTGTCATCAGCAATTGCTATGTCTATCTTCCTCATCTGTCTTATGAATTGTGACATCAGGGCCACACCCCTGAGGAACACCGTTGTGATGTGCCCTTCCGATTCTCCCATTTATGCCATCTCTCGGCCTATTGTCAGCCATGCCTCTACCCAGAAAATTTCTCTATTCCGTGTGCTAAGTTTCTCAATAGCCTTGGTTGAACTCATTGAAGCCTTACTGAAGGTCCATATACACAATATCATATGTCATTTCATGATCTACCTCCTCAAACACCTTGTAATAAATTAGTAAATCGAAGACGGACGCCCTTGTAAACCGTGTGAATCTTAAATCAACGTTGCTATTACGGCTACACAATTGCTTCGCATTTTGATTCCATAATTTCCCATATGGAGTAATGCTTATTGGTCTATAGTTCGAGCCAAGGGCCTGTCACCTGCCTTGTAAATAGGTATTACATTTGCCATTTTCCACTTATCAGGCACTATGCCAGTTTGTAGTGATATGTTAAAAAGAATAGCCAAAGGTATGCTAAGTTCCTCTTTACATTCCTTTAACACCCTTGCAAACAGTTCATCAGGACCTGGGGATTTGTTAGGTTTTTGTTTCTCTATTTGTCTGAGGACCATGTCACTAGTTACTGCAATCATGCATAGTTTATCATCATCCTGTTCTACATAATCTATTATTTCAGGAATATCTCTAGTATTTTCCTGGGTGAATACTGAGAGGAAATAGGCGTTAAGAATTTCACACATATCCTTATCACTGTCAGTGATCTGACCAGAGTTACTCTTAAGTGGGCCAATCTTGTCCTTAATTTTACTTCTGTATACCTGAAAGAACCTGTTTGGGTTAGTCTTTGAATCCATTGTGACCTTAGCCTCATAATCCCTTTTTGCTTTTCTTATTCCTTTCTTTATTTCTCTCTTTAATTGAATATATTGATTTCTTAACTGCCCATCCCCTCTTTTGATACGCCTATACATGTATATGCCTCTCTTTTGACCAATGAGATGTTTTAATCTATTGTTCATCCATTTGAGATCATTTTTGTTAGAACTAATTTCCCTACTCGGAACAAAAGTTGCTTGGGCAGCTAGAACTATGCTCTGAAAAACGTCATATTTGCAACTAAGATCACCTACCTGACCCATAGTCAGGACATCTCAGTTTAGCCCACGCAGGTAATTTTTCAGTCCCATGAAGTCAGCCAAGCGAAAATCTGGGACAGAGATTTGATTGCAGTTATCTGGGTAATTCCATGATATATTGAAACTAAGTGATTTGTGATCACTTTCCCCAAGCTCATCAATAACTTCATGATTATTAATTAGTGAATCTTTGTTGGCAAGAACCAAGTCAAGCAGATTGTTTCCTCTAGTTGGTTCTGTCACAACCTGTTCTAAAAAGCAATCCTGAACCGTATCAAGAAAGTCACTAGACTCAAGATTTCCTGTCATATTGTTCCAATCAATTTGTGTAAAGTTAAAATCTCCTATTATCACAACATTTTCATATCTAGATGCCTTATGAATTTCGTCCCATAAGAGCTTACTGCACTCCCTATCAAGGTTTGGGGGCCTATAAATCACACCCAAAATTAATTTGTCACGTCCCTCGAGAAACTCTTGCCAAACAGATTCTGTGTTTGATGTTTCTAATCTTATGTCATGTCTAAGACAACAATTTAAATTTTCTCTGACATACATTGCCACACTACCACCCTTCCTGTTGACCCTGTCAATGTGGAATAGTTTATAACCTTGTATGTTGCATTCAGAAGGCATTCAGAATTGAATATTCTAATAGTTCATGCTATGTGGCTTTAACAAGTTTAATTGAGAGGAATTACAGTTTTAATTATCAACCTAAAGTGAAATTTACCACTTTAAACCTAAGTAGTCTAGAAATGCCCTGGCTTTCTTTGTACCAATCAAATAATGTAATGTAAACGCACATTGTAACCTTTGCAAAGAAATAAGCTTTTGTTTGTTTTGTTTGTTTGTTCCACCACTTTTCAAAAACCTGAACTTACTACGTAAATATACGAGACATACACTCACATTATTGTGCCTACTACATATACAGAACATTAAACTCCAATATAAATCTTCCGCTTAAACTTCTCCTTGATAGCTACAAGAAAACGCAGTCACAATACAAGGCACAAGGCAGTCTTTGACATCCCTCGTGTCGGTCTCACACTATGCAAAAATGCAATGCACATAAAGGGCTCAAAGATCTGGAACTCGCTACCAGAACTGGTTAAGGAACCCTTGACTATAGTGGTACCTCGGGATATGAAATTAATTTGTTCCAGAAGGCTGTTCGAGTGCCGATACCAAACGAATTTGTTCCCATAAGGAATAATGTAAATTAGATTAATCCATTTCAGACCTTCAAAAATGCACTTACAAAAGCACTTACATAATTGTTCGAGTTTTGAGCTGTTCATATCCCGAGGTACCACTGTACATATGTATGTACTTATAAATTTAGGACTTTGCGTAAAAATCATCTCGTCTCTCAGTACTAACCAAACTAACCAAACCAACTTCTAAACAGTTATTGTATTATATGACCTCTAGTCTACTAACCCTTTGAGGGTCCAGGCCATAGATCTACGTCTTGCCCAAGCGTTAGATCTACGCCATGAGCTCAGCTCATGCTCAGCTCAGCTCAGCTCAGCTGTGATCGGTAAATTTGGGCCTAGATATGAGAGAAGGCATCTATGTGGTAAGTGTGCACCATATAAAGTAAATCCTGAAGAATGCAGTGCATAATGAGAAAAAACTGCGACCGTGTTTTTGGATTAAAACAGCAACTTTGCGATGTATTTTCATATGGTTTTTATAACTGTATTTGCAGTTTCTTAGTCTCATTTGATAGAATGGAAGATATATTACAGAAACAGAGATGATTTTGATTGGTTTTAGTACTGAAAATTGCTTGTAATTGAGCTGAAATTGGTGGAAATGTATGATTTTTGCCGATTTTCAAGAGTAAACGAAATCACATCATGCGTCCAATACATGTCAACTGGTGGGTCTAATATACATTTACAAATGCACTGATACTGTTTATACAATTATTACAATATTGCATAAGAGTAATTCATTTGTTTTTTGTTAAAATCAAAAATCAAAATGTAAAGCCTGGAAACAGCTAATAAACAGAGGAAATGTTACTTTAGTGCCAGAAATGCCTGCATTGTTTATTCTGGATGCTGTTTTGAAATTGGAATACTTTGAACTTTGTGTGAATCTGGCCAAATTACCGATTTCTGATCACCTTATTGGCTAGCTGAAATAGTTGACTGGGCAGTTTCCTGTGCTCAATCGATAAAATAGAAGTAATACTAATGAAATAGCTAAGAATTGGTAGATTGGAATGTAATTGGCCTAAACTAGGAATCAAAGTAGGCAAAATCGTCAGTGTAAATATTGCTTACACGGTAAAATTTACGATAGCGTAATTTCATCAGTTTTCTACCAAATTTCGTA